GGAAGTATGAGAAATGCTGCAGAATTTTGTTTATAGAAACATGACAGCCCCCAACTGTATTCGTGCTCCTCACTGTCAACATTTAAAAGTTGGTTAGCCTGTATGTGGACCCAGACCCATCCAGTGTCTCCATAGATTATTTATTGATTTTTATATAAAAATTATTTACATCTTAAGTGTCCTCACTGTGAGCAGGGCCATTATTATGGAAAACAGAGACTGGGGACAATGACTTAGAAATTGTTGTCTCTGTGTTCTACAGTTGCTGCCATAATTTCACTATCTGTTTGGAATGAAGAGTTTTCATACTCATTTAATATAAATCACCAAAACATATTTATGTGAATGTGAAATTTGGATTGTATACAAGTTAAGGATTTCTTATGTTATTAAATTTATATTTGAAAGAATGATTTGTAATTGCCTATTTATATATTGAAAGAATATATATATAATTTTTTTAATTGGGCATTTTAACGATGTGTTGTTTGATTCCCCACTTCTGTAATCGGGTACATTTCTAGTTAGTATTTGTTGTTTGTGTAGCAGATTTGGCTGTTAAGTGGCAGAAAATTCAATAGCAGCTTTAGTATGATGGAAAATGAGTAGTTTTATAGGGGTAGTAATGGTATCTGTCACACGCAGGTGGAATAAAGCATTATGAGCAGGGTTGTTGAAAATAAGCATAAAAATCTATTCAGTAGATGAAATATTCATGCTGACTGTTCCAGGTTGGAAGCATGGTCAGTTTCAAATGACTGTGTTTCCCTGTTCATTACTCTTGAAGGTAAAGCCAGGCTACAGCTGTTTAGAATTATGTGAAGCCTGTTTTATTGGCTAAATTTATACTGAGTAAAAATTACAATTAGCGGCTTGCATGAGACTTACTGTTCCATTTGCAAGGAGTGTATTCTAGCAACTAGAATGTTAAATCCAGGTGGAGACTCTTGACAAGTCTGTTCAAGTCAGACTTATTTCACTGCCTGCAGAATGGTGACTTGCCACACATAGGGCTACTGATAAGAGAAACTATTGTGGTGTGTTTTGCAAAATTATTAAGAGAAATTGTAATTTTGGAAGTATTTGGGTAAAATAAACAGGGTAAGAGATGCATCTTCAAGAAAACATTTTGTTTTAGGCCAGAGCTTTCCAAACTTTTCATGTTGGTGACACTTTTTAGACATGCATCATTTCGTGACACAGTAATTCAGCTTTACAAGCAAACCGGAGGTAAAACTAACCCCTTTCTAGCCCAGGGACCAGTCCAGGGAGGATCATAGGGAGTGTTCATGTGACATACTCACACACTGCAGCCGACACACTAATATGTCACGACACACATTTTGAAAGCTCTGTTTCAGGCAGTCATTTACTGCCTAAAATTTTAGTTTATGTAGTGGATTATAATACTTAATTTCAAAGCAAATCAGTCAGTCTGCTCCGAGCATGATCTCACTCTTCGTCTCCACAGAGATCTTTCTCTCTATTCACAGTAAAGTTTCCCTTTTAAACTGATTCGGTTTTTTTAAAAAGGTATGACATCATCTGTTGATGACTCTTCTTTGGTCTCCCCACCCCCCACTCCTGGCTAGCACTTTAGATTTCTGGCTACCTTAATTCCTGATATTGCAGATTTACAATTTGACATTGCTCTCTGAGCAGCAGCCGTAATTTCCTATTAAGACAATGCATGTTTCCCAGGAAATAAAATATCCCCCCCCCCCAAATGCTGGTGCTCTTTGGCCTGATACCTAAAAAGGAGGAGCAGGAGGAAATTGCCATGCTCATAAAGAGGTTGCCTGACACTGGCCAGGAACATAGTTTATAATTATCTGCTTTTAGGTGCAGCTGGTCATGGTTGCCCATATTTCCTCTTGGAACATTTCACTGTCAAATCAAATGCATTTCACGGTTGCATGTATTTGATGCCCTGTCTTGTATTTATTTGTTGCACTGTGTTAGAAATACGATTTCTGTTGGGGTGGAAAGGAGACTAACCTTTAGTAGCAAATGTTTCTACTCCTTGTGTGTAGGGGCACTCATGCATAAAAGCCAGCCTTGCCATTAAGCTTCATAATGAGCATAACGCTACACATGAATCTCCATTTTAAATGCAACAACAGTGAACCGCCTGAAATAACAAGGTGGGCCACAGATTAGCCCTCCCCGCCTTACGTTTAGAAGTAAGAAAACACGAAATTTGTTCTTAACAGCACTTATAGAGATGTGATCCTATGGAATGTTTCCCCCTTTAAAACTGCAATCTTATAGACATGTCTATTTAGCAGTAAGATCCTTTGACCTCGTTGGGATTTGCTCTCAGACTGGGGTGCCAACTTGAGTAAAATATTGGGGATAGCAGGTAAGTCCTGCCCTGAATAATCAATCACAAGACACACCATTTGAATGGCAATGCCTATCAATCTTTTTTTGGGGGGTGGCCCACTGTAATATTCTTATTGGGGGGACTGAAGGGACCTTGGCCCCTAGGAATTCGCTGCACCTAAATTTCCTGAAGAGTGCTCAAAGTAGCCAACAATGACAGGATTCTGGATAAGGTCCTATTTCAAAGATCTTCTTTAGTTGGTAACGGAGTGGAAGGGGTGGGACTCCCATGAGGAATTGAGAAGCACAAGGGGTCTTTTGGTGTAGCAAGTGGTATATACATTTTGAAAAATAAATGCACCTACGTATGTAAAATGAGAAGTGGCTGTAGATTTAAAGCAAAGTCTAAGGGTTGTATCCAAATTTCATCCTGCGAGTGGACCCATTTAAATTATTTACACCCATTAATTTACATCGATTCTGAGTAGAACTAAAGTTAGTGACAACCCCTAAGTGTCAAGTCTCTTGACTTGGTGTCCCCTGCATTAAAAATGAATTATTTTTTTGGCAGCCTTTGCTGCTTCTGATGAATGGTATAAAATTTGATAGAAGAGTTTTCTTTAAACGACTCTTAAGCAGCAGTAGAGTGACAAGCGGAACATTAACCATGACAATGACATAAATAGTATGCTTACTTTTTTTTTTTTTTACTATTTCTACAGAGATCTGTTCATTGAAGATTAATCAGAGTGGAACTTGTAGCCTTAAGGGGAAACGAAATTGTATTGTTCATGTGGGTGGAAAGTACTTTTAGAGATTTAATTACTGTATTGATGGAAGCAGTTATAAAATTACACAAATAAGAAGTCCAGTGACAGAAAGATTTAAGCAGTAACTGTGTATTACTATGTAGCAGCAATACAACATATAGAGAAAAATAGGTTAATTCAGTTGATGCTCTTCCAAATCCTGAAAGAACCAGCTAAACATCTCAACTGAACACACAGTTACTGCTTAAATCTTTATGTCGCTGGACTTCTTATTTGTGTAATTTTATAACTGCTTCCATCAATACAGTAATTAAATCTCTAAAAGTACTTTCCACCCACATGAACAATACAATTTCGTTAAAGCTACACAAATTAAGTGAAAGGGAGAAGAATTTTAATTCTAAACTTTAAGTCTAAACAGGATGTTACTTGAGTGTGGATCACTGTTGTCTTACTATCCCTGTCCTGGAGAGGTCACAACTGGCACAACAGCCTAAGCTAGCTGAAAGCAGTCCAGTGCCACTGTGGACATTCAAGTAGGGATGGCAAATCAATCATCTTTGGTTTTCTCCAGTTTCTTGTTTTCCCAATATGCCTTTTCATGCACAGTTCTCCTAATACACACCTTTCCTACACACACACACTTCTGTACACATATTTTGCCACATTGCAAAATTTGGAGCTGTGCACATATGGAAGGATAGTTGTGTTTCAGTTCGGAAAGTGCAAATTAGGTGGAGGCATTTTAAAATGTGAACTGAACAAACCCTCCAACCCTATCCTAAAGCAATAAACCTTGATCAAGGACTACTCCCAAACTTTGAACCTCATCTTTCAGAGGGGGTACAAAACAGATTGAATTATCTGTCTTCAGTGCCTCTGTTTATTCAGGACTGAATTTATGCAGACTATGGGACTTCATAACACAAGGACCATTGGTCAGAATAGTTGGAAGAACAGTTGTTCTCCCAAAGCTCCTCTCTGAATCTAGCAACGTAGAAAAGAGCAGAACCACACTATATCATAGTTCCCCCTCTTCCAGGAGGACATTATGGTTGATTTATCAAAAACTGAAGTTCCAAGAGAGTCAACAGGGCTCTACCCCCACCTTGCCAAGAAAAGATAATCCTTATATTGAAATAAAGCAATAGAAAACTCCAGTGTGAAATATGTTCTATACTAAGTATAGGAAAACTGTCATGTTAATATCCATTTGTTGGAATGAAACTTGTGTTGAAGTAGTTGTAACATCATTTTATTTGGATTTGACAGGCTAATCATACTCTAGTTTGTTAATAAATCAAATAGTATATCCTGATGGGTAAAGTCATTCCTTCCTTGAAATGTGATGGGTCTCTGAAATTTAAAGCAGCATGCAATGGATATTAGATGCAGCACTGACAAAATTTAGAAGCATCTGTCACTCTTTGAGCTCTAAAAATGAGAAGCTGAACCTCTAACACAATACTGAAGGAATTAAAGAATGACAGGGCCTTGCTGATGCACTTATTCACTACAGTCTTGTACACCTTAATCCTGTATGACTAGCAGTCACTCACTTATATAGTTTTGTGGAGCCTATCTGAATTTACAAGTGCCAGGAAAGATTAAGATTTATTTGGAAGGATTGTGGAAGAAAAGAACATTACTTCAATCATGTCTGACAGGGTGCAAGTTGGAAAATTCCAAAGTGTTTCGTAAATTCAGTGATGTGATATGTTTATGGACACATATCAAGTAATATAGCCAGTAATGTAAATAAACAACTTATTAACTTAATTTTAAATTAAATCAACTATATTTCCGAAGCTGAAGTGCTGCTTGAATTTTGGGGAGAAAGTCTGGGACCTTAACTAAATTCAAAGGTCTGCCCTTGCCTCATTCATTCCAACTTGTGGCTTCTCCATGGTCTTCTAAAACAGTAATTAAGGAAGGCGCCATTAAGGTCTTGTCTGATCACCTCTAATTAGAAGAGCTGTGTGTTGAAGCCTCAGCCAGTACAGTGGTACCTCGGGTTAAGAACTAGATTCATTCCAGAGGTCTGTTCTTAACCCGAAACCGCTCTTAACCTGAGGTACGCTTTTGCTAATGGGGCCACTCACTGCCGCCGTGCCACCGCTGCGCGATTTCCGTTCTCATCCTGAGGAAAAGTTCTCAACCCAAGGTACTATTTCCGGGTTAGTGTAGTTTGTAACCCAAAGTGTTTGTAACCCGGGGTGTTTGTAACCTGAGGTACCACTGTATAACCAAGCAGAGCTTACACAGTGGCAACAAGAAGCCAGTGAATAATGTAACAAAGATATAATATGGGGAGGAAGCAACTAGCATGTTTGGTTTGGGGGTTTGAAACTCGTACTGCATACAACTACATACAAATTACAGTATAATATGGAGAATCTTATTGTCAAAGCCTATGTGCAATCCCTATGGGTCTATGTGAAGACGGGGTTTATTTCGGGTAGAAATGTGTACGAGTGACATTTGTCCACTTCCCAATACTCAATCACATGGGTTTTTGACCGCTTTCCAGTGCTAAAATGCTCCTCGAATAAACTGGGTACACTTTCTCCTTGAAGAAAATACACACAAAGTGAATTTAATACACAAAGGGAGATTTTTCTTTTCTTTTCTATGAGGGATAATATTATTCCCCTTTATTCTGTGTAATATGTAGATTGGACTTTAGATGATGAAGTTGTGATGGAAAATTGATATAACTCTTCAACACAAAAAGTTATGGACATATTAAAACTGTTATTTCAGCTGTGTGCTATCAATTTTCATTTCCATGGAAATTGATCCTATTTCTCTGATAGATTCAAAATTCACATAATTTTAACAATGTAATAAATCCCAATACAACAAATCAGAATTTGCTAGATTATGTGATGCCTTGAAGAACTTTTGGCAAAACTGAAGTTGTGCTATGTTAAAATATCAGCCTTTGCCAACTCTAGTAGAATACATATGGATAGTGTTAGAAACTCCGATATATATGCTAGGCACCAAATGGTCCCTTAAGCCAAGGCTACAGTTGCCAAACCAGAATGTCTTGTTGCCCTTTTGGGGCCAGGCAACTTGAAAGTCATATTTTTCAATACAACTTTTTGGTTCCTGAAATTTGCTCTGATCGTGCAGATAAAATCGTCTCACAGATAGGATTCTACAGGATTTGTTGCAAGTGTGTGAAAACAGCCGAGATCCAAAGATCCCCACACATGCACCTCCAGATGGTGAAGATATCAGGTGTCATCCTGGCACCCAGACATCTTTGCTTGGTCACAAGTGGTCAATAGCCAGGTGCGAAATGCAGGTGGGGGTTTAAGTCGAAAATATTTGGAGCATACCAGGTTGACAGAGGCTACTATATCAGTATCAAACTTTATTTCGGTCACAAACCAGCATTATATATTATGCTGATGTAGTCTACTACTTTTGGTCATTAAGAAATAATGTCCTGGAAACCCCAGAAGGCTACCTAATATTATCTGTAACACAGAGCTTAATCAGACAGCCGTTTATTGCAGAGCAGCAGACCACGGAATATGCCTCTGGTGCCCAGCTATAAAACGAACTTTTTACACGTTTAAAATGTGTTCCAGTCTTTACGTCTCCCTAAATGAAGTGAAGCCAAAAGATTTTGTTGTAACTATAGGCCTGTCAGCACTTCCTTTGTACACATAAAATTAATTATGTTATCCGTAAAATCCTATCAGCCATGGAAAGGAAATAATTAAATCCCAAAATGATTATTAATTTAAATAACTATTGTGATTGCCTATCAGATATGCAGTTATCTGATTTTTGAGTTGACTGATGTTGATGGGTTGACAGGAATGAAAGACTATCTTACGCCATGTAAGAATTGTTTACGGATGGATACAAACAATAATAGGAGAAGTGTGGAGCTAAAAGCTGTGACAATCATTGAATAACGCGGTTATTGCTACAGGGAATTCTGAACTGGTATGCTTTCTTTTAGCTTCTGTGCACAGTGATGAGTAGTTTATCTTTCCCATGTTGTAAGCATTATGAGAGATATTTGACTAAGTCATGTTCTGAGTAGGCCTTTTGAAAGCAATGGACTAACTTTAGTCCATTCACTTCAGTGTGTCTACTCTGAGTATGACTTAGTTGGATAACACCTTATATTCCGTTTCCAACATTTGATGCAACTTTTGTTTCTAATGCAAGGTCAATCAGCGGTCTCTCTGGAATAGTGTTTAAATCTTTCTTGTGCATTAGTTTCAAACATGTATGCTTATTAATTCATATAGCCTCCTAAACCTTTGTATGCTACATATTCATTTCCAATAATGTTTTTAATGCAAGTCACAGACTTGTGTTAATCATATTTGTTAGGCTGATTCTTGTTATAAAATACATGAAAGTTCTTTCCAATAAATATTGGTGGGCTGTCTTATGGGATGCGTAGCACTGCACATCATGTACAATACCATATATTTATTTAAAACTATCCCGCCTTTCTGCCTGGCTGCAGACCCCAAGGTGGCTGACAATATGGAAAAATTAATAAAGATAATGAGTTCTAAAACTCTGGGATAGAATGCTTTGAGATGCCCGTTCTCCTGGTGTTAGATGCCGCTGCTAACCTGCTGATTTTCAGATGTTTCACTGTGAGCACTTTGGAAGGTGGGAAGAACAGCTTCCCAAAGTGTATTACCTAGCAACCAGTCCCTGGGGCATATTGACCTCACTCAGGCAGCTGGAACAATCTACAACTTTGGCCTCTTCCTAGTAGTGGGGTATTGATAAGGGCTCGTGGTGCACAATGTTGGAGAATGACACCTCCCCAGAACTGCTAAAAGTGTGGCTGTTCTGCAGTTCATACTCTGTTGCCCACTTCTCTTTGGGCTTAAATATGTCTATTCACATGTGATGCCACTTTACATTGTTGAGGGTTGTTTTGACATACCAGCATGACAGTTGGATGGGGTAGTATGATGATAGGGCAAGTAACATGGAAAATATTAACATAACTAGGGGTATAGGGAGTGCTGATAAATGGATAAAATAATGATCCATGAAAAAAAAAACAGAGAGAGAAGAACAAATGCTGAAATAAAAGCATGCAGTTGCACGGAAGTGAATAGTACTAAGCAACATGATTCTTGATTAGTTCATAATTATGAGCAGTAGGAAAGGTAGCAGCCTGCTAGACATGATCTCATATCACAAGGAACACTCCACTTGAGGCTTAAAGAATTAGAAGGAAAGGGGCTTTTGAACAGAATTATGTGACAGAGCATGGTATGAAATCATAAGCTTTGAAAACAGTTTTTTTTATGTATAAAAAAATCTCAGATTGGAGGGAGGAGAGACTCTTCTAACATTTTAAACCTGTTGCTATTTCCTTTTGCCCTTAACCCAAGAAAATAGTGGCACACACTGAGAACTGATTTTCAAGCTTGTTTCTTAGGCCAGGGAAAGTTCAAGCCATCAGAGAGGATTTAGAGAAAGGTCACCTAGTTTTCCTTAACTGGCATGAGTAGGATGCCCTGTATTTGATTTTCTAAAATACCCTTTATAGCTTGGTGGTCTGTGTATAGACATACTTGAGGTATGACTGTCTTGGGCATCCTTGTCATGCATAAAGCAGCCCACCCCCCTTTATTTGCACATTTTCATATTCTGTAACCCCGACATTTAATATTCTTTTTTTTAAAAAAATGCTGCAGACCAAAAAAATGCATATGGTCTCGGAAATGGTGACAAAACGACACCAGGCTAATTGAAGAAGAAACAACCAGTGGTAGCCTCAAAACAGATCTGGGTACAAAAATGATGTGCATATTTGGATAACATAAAATTTAACTGATCTCATTGAAAACTATTTTTTTTTAGGAACAGTGTAGAAGCAAGCAAATATAATATGTGCATTATGTTGTTTCTATAAATGCACATGTAATTAAACTGTTATGCGATTTACTAAAGTTAATGACATGACTTGGGGAGATGCCTGAGCTGATGGAAATGGTATAGAATAATGTGCAAAGTAATTTGATTAATAATTGAACTGAGATTAATAATTCAGATGAGATTAATTTGCATAAAATGATGCATTAATAAGCAAGTGGCTAGCATTCAAGTGTAAGAAATGAGAGAGGGATTTCACACAGTCGAAATGGTTAGTCAGACATTTTGTTGTTCCTTTCACTATCCAAAACCACCTCTTACTCTTAAAAAAGACAAGAATACTTATCCATTGATCTCTTTTAAAGTTTAGCTTAGCTGTACCAGCTAACTTGAGAAAATGACTTTCTAGTATTTGGTTTGCACTTCCTAGTGGAACGGTCATGGGTTATTTATGACTTTGCCTACCAACCCTTTTCCATTAATTGTCTGTTTTGAGGACTGCCTAACCATCTCACAAACATGCCTTGAGGTAGGTGTCATGGTGCACCTTTGTGCATTTTGCTTCGCTTACCCTTAGGCACCAATTCTTAAAATTAAATCATAGTGCACATTATGACCATCTGGAATGGAAGCAGTAGAGGGAGAGGGAGAGCCAAACAGAGCTGGTCTCTCAGCACAGCTGAGAACATGTGGACAGTGTTACAAGAATGAGCAGAGACAGGACAGGAGCCAAACCAAAGGTCATTTTAAAAAGCTACATCCAAGTGTTTATGAAGTTTAAAGTCCCACCTCCCTGCAATAGTCGTGGCTGCAACAACTCTCAGTTTTTCATAGCTTTAAATGTACACTTTACTTTTGGCAAGAAAGAAAAGAAAAAAAATACTAAGTGTAGGACAAATGATAAACACTCACAGAGGTTAAAAAAAAAAAGGCTTTGATTGTCATTGCTTGGAAGGAAATGCAGGATAATGGAGTAGCCGGTTATTTTGTGTGTGGCCTGAACTTCAAGGTCTGGTCAATGCTGGAGACAGAAAACTGGTTTTGACATACTGTTGCTCTGACCAAGCTTTGACATTCTTATTTTAATATTTGCAGCATCCCAAAATGCTGTTGTTAGTTGCTGCTCATTAGTCTTAATGATTTCACAAACTGTCTAAGCCATTCAAGATCATCTTGCCAAAAAGCACCTACATAATATATACCAAAACAGAATCCGGACAACATCCTCTTCTGCCCCACATATGCATAATTCTGTCTCCATTAAAGTACCCTGCAGAAATTGTCATTGATTTCACCTTAGCCATAATGTCACAGACTATGCACATAAAGTTTAAGGAGCCAGAAAGTATTATATGGCAATCATGTTTTATCCCTGTATAATTGTATTTTAATGAATTGCTTTCTACTCCAAATTACTTTCTTTTGCTTGATTTACTTGACAGCATGTATAGAATAGCAGACAGAATTTGACATATGATACAGGATCTGACTACTGTGGAATTCTGAAAAATCTCTTCTTAACATTATAATTAATTAATTAAAATAAGTATGTTTTTCTACCACGTTGAGGCTTTTTTTCTACAAGCGGTATATAAATTCTACAAATTTTTTTTAAGTGCTCCTAATAGACTTTTAAAAAAGTATATATTTTATTGGCTTTTGTTTTTCCTTAATAAAATCAATTAGTAAAAATAATAAAATACATAGCTGCAGTGGATCATAGCAATTTGTTGTGCAGGATCATGTAGAAGGAAAGATGATATTTAACAGCCAGCCTTTCCCAAACATCCTTGGTGACTGTAACTGATAGCAGAGAAACATAAAAAGACCCTAGAAGAGGCCCATGGCATAGGTGTTGCAGGCACATGGTTTTGTCAGTCTGAGGCGCTTGCCAAGAGGTAAGATTTGTGATGAGCCTCCAGATTTGACACTGCGAAGTCACGTTTGTCAGTAGGCACTTTGCATCTTTATTTTGAGGGAGGAATGTGGAGGGGAAGTACCCCAAAGGAATTTGTAGAATAAGGAATTTGTAGAATAAGGAATTAATTTGTTGGAATTAGTTGGTGTGTCATGCAGATACCCTGCGGCTTATGCACATGAACAGTCACCATGGAACTTGGGGGGGGGGCTTTCATCATAAATATTGAGGGGCTGTGACCCCACCCCAACTTGGCATCTATGGTGTGGGTCACCCCTCAGGACAAAGATGAATCTGGGTAGTGCATTAATTTTTGTCACATTAACCTGGCCCCACAGTCTCAGGGGTAAATGTGCCCGAACTGCAAAGCCCAACCATATCCTGTTTTTCTGGTATTTCACATCATGAAGCTCTGCCCTATGACACCGGAAGGCCATGCCCTATAAATCTCAGGCTTTATGATATGGAAAACCTGGTAGACTTAAATAGAAACAACTAATGCATGTAATAAAAAAAGTTCTCAGTATGGGGAAAAAACATACTGCTTTATACTATTGAAGTTTTGTTTTGCCATTGTACAGCCTCAAGTCATTGCTGACCTAGCCAGCAGCTAGAGGTGAATGTTGTCGTGTTCTTCAGAAAGAACAGTAAATCAACATGTTTTACATCTTGTTTTGAAACTATAAATCTGATCTCTTATCATTTTGGGGGAATATATATAGTTACGGGAATACTTCAAGCCTGCTTTTGCTTCGAGCATGGAAGAGAGGGCAAGAAGAAGGGCTATGCGGCCAGACAGGACATTAGTCCTCCCGCCAAGAGAAGAGGCAGACTGGTGGAAACAGCACCTGGTGTCATGATCAGTAGAAGGAGCAGGAGGAGGAAAGGCTGCCAAGTAGTGAAGGTGCTGAGCCTGCCAATAAATACTAGTTAGGATTCTGCGTGTGCTACTTGCTACTGAATACCAGTTGTTGGGGATCATGAATGAGAAACTGATGTTGTGCTCATGATCTTCTTGGAGGCATCTGATTGGCCCATATGAGAAAGAGGATGCTAGACTAGATGGTCTGATTCTGCAGGAGTCTTAGGTTATTATGAGGTATGGTAAGCCTGCACCCACGTCACCTGCTGTAGTTCAGGTATCCCAAATTCCAGCCAGATATGGGGGTCAGGAAGAAGAGGAAGGTGTCCCATGATATTCTTGTAAAGAAGCTGGTAAAATGCGGTCTTGACTATGCTACCACTCAGTGGATTTGTAACTGGCTGACTGACCGAACCCAAAGGGTGCTCATCAATGGTTCCTCTTCATCCTGGAGAAGAGTGACTAGTGGGGTGCCACAGGGTTCTGTCTTGGGCCCGGTCTTATTCAACATCTTTATCAATGACTTGGATGATGGACTCAAGGGCATCCTGATCAAATTTGCAGATGACACCAAACTGGGAGGGTGGCTAACACCCCAGAGGACAGGATCACACTTCAAAACGACCTTGACAGATTAGAGAACTGGGCCAAAACAAACAAGATGAATTTTAACAGGGAGAAATGTAAAGTATTGCACTTGGGCAAAAAAATGAGAGGCACAAATACAAGATGGGGGACACCTGGCTTGAGAGCAGTACATGTGAAAAGGATCTAGGAGTCTTGGTTGACCACAAACTTGACATGAGCCAACAGTGTGACGCGGCAGCTAAAAAGCCAATGCAATTCTGGGCTGCATCAATAGGAGTATAGCATCTAGATCAAGGGAAGTAATAGTGCCACTGTATTCTGCTCTGGTCAGGACCTCACCTGGAGTACTGTGTCCAGTTCTGGGCACCACAGTTCAAGAAGGACACTGACAAACTGGAACGTGTCCAGAGGAGGGCAACCAAAATGGTCAAAGGCCTGGAAACGATGCCTTATGAGGAACGGCTAAGGGAGCTGGGCATGTTTAGCCTGGAGAAGAGGAGGTTAAGGGGTGAGATGATAGCCATGTTCAAATATATAAAAGCATGTCACATAGAGGAGGGAGAAAGGTTGTTTTCTGCTGCTCCAGAGAAGCGGACATGGAGCAATGGATCCAAACTACAAGAAAGAAGATTCCACCTAAACATTAGGAAGAACTTCCTGACAGTAAGAGCTGTTCGACATTGGAATTTGCTGCCAAGGAGTGTGGTGGAGTCTCCTTCTTTGGAGGTCTTTAAGCAGAGGTTTGACAACCCTATGTCAGGAGTGCTCTGATGGTATTTCCTGCTTGGCAGGGGGTTGGACTCGATGGCCCTTGTGGTCTCTTCCAACTCTTATGATTCTATGATTCTATGTGTCAGTCTCTATAATCTTGTCAGACCAGAAGTTCAGCATGACTAAAAAGCATAAGTTGGGAATTCTTTTCTTTTTTTAAAAAGCAGCAATCTCATTTGTCAATAAACATAACTGGCATCATCCTGTACACATGTAAGTAAATGTGTGACATAGGCTAAAGAAAATCGATCGAGCACCTAGGGCTTATGAATCGGTGAGGAATTAGCCCCAACACCTAGTAAACAATTGGCATGGCCAGCTTAAACACTGTTGAGTGGAGGAGATACAATCTCAACTCCCTATTTGTCTGCTCTTGGTATTGTCAAAGATGCCCTACCAACTGGGGGCTTTGGGAATCTGGTCTGTAGTAGTAAGGAAATATGAACTTTTGCTAATAATACAGAATGCTAATATCTAGATAAGAGTATATATTAAAAGCTAACTTAGGGCATCAATCTTCCTGGTACAAGTACAAGCACTCCACACATGGAAAGAATTTTACGTCACTCCCTGGTGGCTTCCTTCCTACTGCAAGATGTAAACCTTAGCTTTCAAAATATTCCACAAAGTCCAAAAATAACTGGCTACTCCATTTTCCAGCATTTCCTTTCAACCAATGACAATCCAAGTCTGATTTTTTACCTCTGTGAGTTTTCTTGCATTCTGAAAAAGGTACATGTTGCACACACATTCATTTATGTATTTGTTTTTGGGATTTAGCTGTGCCTGTTTTATGGACTCCCAAGTCCTTTTGAGTTAAGCAAGGCAAAACTAAATGTTCAGAAACGGCCTTTGTGACTTCAAGGTAGTGTCTTGTTTGTTTTTGCCTTAAGAGAGAAAGATGACCTTTCCTTGTTTGTCCATGTTTTGGCTGAGCTGTATGTAATAAATAATGAAATTGCACAGGAAAGTTGTCAGGAACATGACCACAGAACGCATGCCCTCAATCTGTTTTCTCCCAGGTAATCTGCTTGTTCGATTGCTAACAGACAAGTAGGGTGGGGGAGGGAAGGTGATTTACCATGGTGTCAAAAGCAAGGTATCAGTGAAGGTCGTTGCCAGGAATTTTGCTTGGTCAGTGATCCAGGGGAATCAATCTTGAGGAAAGGGCAACTAGGCAAATTGAGACGAGAAATGGTAAGGCACAATGTAAGGTTGTTTTACGGTACTATCAAATTATGAGAATCTGAGAGTTGTGAATGCATCAGTAAAGTAGGGTTCTTACCAATGTGTGGTGCCAATGTAGTCAAGGCGTTTTTCTTCTGATGTTCAGGTTAGGGAAGGGCCATAGTTTAGTAAGAGAGCATAAGGTCTTGTGCAAAAGTTGTGCAATTCTATCCTTTACATCTTCAGGTAGGGCTGGGAAACTTTCCTACAGGAAAGTTTCCTATCAGATAGTTCTGATATCCTGGATAGCTGCTTCCAGCCAGTGTGGAGAATAATGAATTAGATGGACCAATTAGATAACATGTATAAGGAAGTTCCTAAACCTGCAAATCCCACAAAGTGCATAATTGACAGTTTTTGTCTGGATTTCAATAATCTAGCTGCCTGCGATAGCTTGGTGAAATCTTTGCTGGGGAAGAACTATCCTTCTTCTTAACACTGAAATCTGAAACAGCACTAAACTAATCTTATGGTAGCATAACTGGCTTTTCAAGCACACACACACACACACACACACACACACACACAAATATGAAATGTTTTTTTCTTGGGCTATTCACCTTCTACCGACTCTCCCATAGTCCTCATTTTAGAGCTCCTTAATTGTCTGGCCTTGAGATGTCTGGTAATCTTTTTAAGCACTATCTTTCCAAAATCACATAAGTAAGGGATTTTTTAAGGGTGAAATGGCAAGCAGGCATAATCAAGCAGGCATTATAGTAGAAGAGGTAGCACACATGAGCTAAGCAGAGGCAAATTGGTTCACTTGGAACGAAGGATCACATTTCAGGCCTAATTGAATAAAGGTAGAAGAGTGTTTGGCAAGGAAACATCATATTTTATTCTACTGAAGACAACGGAAAGTAACATGGAATATAAAATGTGCAGCAAAAGCCAGATACATAGGAGTTGTTTCACAGAATACAGTTTTTCCCTATTCAAGCGGTTCTGACTCTTGCCATGCTTATCTGGGTAAAAGCAAACAAACAGGAAATTTACCTATATTTTATGGACAGATAACCATAGTATTTCAAGTGAATGCAGTGCAGTTTACACCCTGAATAATACTAACTTTTTCATAAACAGAATACAAAGCAGAAAAAGGTACTGTCATCAAAAGTGCAATAGAATAGGAAAACATAATCTAAATGTATGCTACAGTAACTAATATTTTGCTAATGAAGTATAAAAAAGCTGAAATTAAGTATAAGATCAAAATTTGAATCCAAAAATGTTATTATGTAATCATGAATTTGACAGTAAAAATCTATTTAGTCTGCATAATAGGCTTGTATGTGAGGTTCACTAGACTCATTCTCCTATATGATGCCTCTAGCCTCTTGTAAACATTCAATATGGGAATGCATTTTCAAGGAGGAATCAACTTGTTTTCATTGTAAAAATAAACAATTGTTTTTAAAAAGTCATTAGATTTATAAAGCACTAAACATATTCAGAACTATCCTGTAAAATACTTCTGTGGATTCCTGATTCACCTTGAATTATGATAATTCATTTTTTAAAAAAATAAACTGGACACAGACACTTCTGTTTTAAGTTTACTGTATTCTTGTCAGTTTATTGAACAGTTTGTTGTACCCTTTTTCCTTGAGAGTGGTCTGAACAGATGGGAAGCTGAGCATCACAGCAGTACCTAAAATATGAATTGCAGTTTGAAGGTCTTATTCTAGGACAAAAAATACTGCTATATAAATATGAGACATAATAAAGAAATTGCATGCAGGTCTTGGAAATGAGTTTGCAAACGGAAAATAAATGTTTTCAACAGCTGTTTGAACTCATACCTCCACGGTGGAAAGCGGCTTAATTTGCATAATAATCTCTAAAGCAAAAATATTATGTTCCTTGCTGATTGAAGAAAAAAAGTTACGTTTCAATGCCAATTACTGTTTACCTCAGTTTTTAATTACTATTTGGTATCTAATGAAAGAGAATAAAACACTTGGTGTGGGAGGGAAGCTGGTGGTAGCTTAGTCATTGCCTCCAGGTATTAAAAAGCATTTTTATGCTGAAGAAACTGAAGGAGCCTTCTTTTGTTTCTTTAAAAATCTGTTTATATTTTTATATGTTTTTGTTAAAATGTTATTGCTAACCGTTCAATATACAAATGCTTTCACATTGTAGAATTATCTTCATTCTGTCACTTTGACATGCGCTCCCACAAACTTTAAACAGGAGTTAGGCTTCTGGAACCATTATTTGACAGTTTCCTCGAAAAGTACATAATTGCAGGTAGTAATTTACTTCAAAACAGAATAACAAAGCACATAGATAACACATTTCCCCTCCCACTCCTTTCACAAGAGACAAGTTTATCTTCCTTAGTTCTACAGAGAATCCCTAAAACCAATCGTCTTAGCAGTCTGCTTCCAATATACGCTGGATTTTCAGGGGGAAAATTACCTTTAGAGGTCTTTCTACCCACCTGGGCACCAAATAATTGAAGGAGCTTCTCTTATTTATTTATATTCATTTAGAGCATTTGAACATTGTACATTCAGCTAATAACACTCTCAGAGCGGCTTACATACAGTCAAAACAAGATAGTCTAACTCTAAGACACACAAGGATTGAAGAGGAAACTCAGGCATCGATTCTATGATTCTATAGAACAGGGAATATACAGATCAAAATACAGCATTTGGGATGACTTTAAAAATAATTTCCCCACTACATCTTTAAGAACATCTTTGGATAAAATCAAAGGCTTCTCTAATCCAGCATCTGTTTTCCCACTCTGTCTGATGCCTATGGACAACTGTTCTCTCCTGCTGTTGTTCATCAGTTCCCATATTGAGAAGCATGCCATCTTTGATGTAGCCTGTAGACAGATAGGCACTGAGAGTCATATCCGCCAAGAATTTGTCCTTTTAACAAAACATACAAATCAAGAGACATCACAATACTCTGCTTTTCTCCCCCACCCCGCTGCAAAACATCAACCCTAGCTGTAGATTGCAGCAGCTTTCTTGTTTCTTGATTACATGGGGAAGAGAGTAAACTATCATTCATGTGTGATGGTGTTATCATGGAATACACACAAGCCACTCCTGATGCTTCATTGTTGTCCGAAAGCAGTAGGAACACTTGTGTAGTTGCTCTTTACCTTGGCCCAATTGTCATAAACCCAGCTGAAGTTTTTAGCTCCACCACTGGAGCCCCAAGCTGGGAGGTAGTGCTTCTTCTTTCTCAACTTTATCCTGAAAACGAGCCAGTTTTCAACCAATTATTAACTGGATTTGGCCAGATAATGATGGAATACTGGTCCAGCAGCTAGGCTGCAAGAGTCAATCTGTTTCTGAGGTAGGATGGGACTACTCCGTTTGATTAACAAAACTGTGTATTACACTAGATCATAAAAAGCAGGGTAAAATGAAAAAAATGCTTGGGAATTTTAGATAGTAGATGGAATTCAAATGTCTGGCAGTTTGTCAGATTCATTAAGATACATGAAAAGCCCTAAGGTGGCGGTAACTAGGTGGCAATGACTTGGTGTGCAGTAGAGCTGTTTTCCCCTTTCTGTACACTGGAAGCCATCAGTTTAATGCCATTGCTCCTCCAATGCTATTGCTGTCTGTAAACTTTATTTTCAGTGCAGAATTCCACACTTGTCAGATTCATGGCCTGTGTGATATTGGTGGTTGCATCAAATGGTGTCAACACTTTCTTGAAATAGCCTGTGTTTTGCATACTATTTTACTGCCTCCACCAACTATTTTGTGAAGGAGAAAGTCATCCATGAAGCTCTGAATTTTGGGTGTTTAAGTTTAGGCAGTAGATTGAACATACTAATTGTGCATCTGTCTGCCTGTCTAGCTATAGAGGTATGTGCATGCAGTGCTATGTTTCTAGAAAAGAGGTGCCGGAACTCACCATGAATGCCTCCCTTGTTCTCTTATAATGGCAATGTCGCCCAGCTGAGAGGTGACGGAACTGAGTTCCAGTGAGTTCTGGCAGAAAAAAGCCCTGTGTACGTATATGTAAATGGGTGTATATTTCAACTAGCCTATCCGTAGTTGATAAAATCAATGTCCATTTGCTATTGAATAGCATTCTGGGTAATTTCCCTATTAAAAACTTTGCCTCTATTTTAAGAGCTCAATTCATCAGTCTTGTTATGTGCTGAACTTCTCACCCTGGGTCAGCAGGGGGATACTGTAGATAGTTTTCGCTCAGGTCCACATATGCAAATAAGGGATTGAAAGTGACGTTCAGTGATTGGATAGTTACAGGAAGTTGTTACAGTTGTGTTGTACTGGAGCTCTATATAAGCAGGCTGGCTGAACCCTTCAGTTAACTTCTGTTCTGGCCTGTGAATAAACAAGAGCTGTTTGAAGAACTGCTGTGTCGCCTGATATGTTCACCCACAATTTAACAAGTCTAATGACACAAGTGATCAGACTGAGATTATTTGAGAACCATACCAAGCTGATTTTGCATCCTGTTGTGCGGTAAGCAAAGTAGCTGCACCAACACAATGAGGAACATCAGTATTGCCAAGTTTGGAATGGTCTAATACTTTGTTAGGGTGCTCTAGCACAGAAATGAAATCAGATTATGTTTGGCATGATCAAGACTAGGAATGCTAATCTAGTTTTGATAATCTCTTTTCATTATGAAGTCCCCATGTCAGTGCAAATCTATGCAGGTGACATGTGATGATACTAATCATGTTTTGAAATGACTGGTGGCAAAACAGGATGGGGTCTTGACGCAAGATGCCCCTGCAGATATGCCCACTTTACCATGCCAGTTTGTACCAGGCGGCTAAGCAATAGCATCTCCTAAAAGTTGTTTTGCTTTGTTTTTTTATAAATAGATATAAGTAAGTGCCAAGAAGAAATGTACATAGAGAATCGGGTGAACATAATATCATTATGAAGCCTGAGTTCCATGCATATTGATTGATTGGTTCCCGTGAGGCATCCTAAAGCAATTTACACAGAACAATTGCATATATAAACAGCTCAAACATTTGCATAAATAAAAACAGCTAAAACATTTGCCTATAGACAATTACAAACCATTTTATATATAAACAATTTAAAACCACAACACACATATCAAAGGAATTCAAATCCAATACAGATACCAGCTGGGGAAAGTCTTCACTTACAAGGCTTGTTGAAAGAGGAACATCTTGAACAGGCACCAGAAGGACAGCAGAGAAGGTGCCTGTCTGATACATAATAGGAAAGAATTTCAAATTGTAGATGCTTATATTTAAGTGCCAACTCCAACATCAGGCCTCTTGGCAAGATATTTTCTGCCAGATGCTGTCTCCTGCAGAATGCAGCGACTACCTTCTATGTGTCCAAGTTTCAAACTGTATAGGGCTTTGTATACCAGCCAATCAGCATCCAGTACAGATGTACATAACATATTTCTGATCTGAAAGTTTGTTGCGTAATGGTGCATGCACATACAACCCAATCAGATGGGCAGGGGATAAATAATACATTTATTATTATTACTAGGGTTTCTTACCTATGACCAATTGTTTTTGAGGTAACTTTGCCATCACAGCTTATCTGTCACCATATGAACTGATAGTTCTACAGGTTCCTTTTAGGTATTGGCTGGAGAGTCGTGAACAGTGTAGGAATAATATTCATTGACATGTTTGATGCAGAGATCTAAATAGAGACTATTATTTGTGATGCGGCATCTGTTTTGCTTGTATTTATTTTTGATTCAGCTTTCTCATGGCCAATGGCTAGTACAATAAAGTTATTTGGATTGGATTGGATGTTTACATGTAGACTTTTTTCCATGTAAACTTTTTCAATATTGGTATCAAAATACTCTGGTTGAGGTAAAATTATAGCTATTTGTGCTATATGCACCATATATTATAGCTTTTGCCTCCTTAATTTTGTGGTTTCCCCCCTTGTGATCATTATAGTCATTAGTAGGGATTACTCTTTAGAACTGCAAAGGTGAAGGCAACACATTTTGGAAACAACATTTTTTTAAAAAAGAAGCTTCCTTTCCCCTTTTTCTCTTTCTCATATGAACAAATGCCTTAACTAATCTAGTGTGAAACAGATGTTTTCTCTAGCCTCAAGTGGGCTATAGAATGAAAGAAAAATTATCCCTCTTAAAAATAAAGACATTCAAAGTTTCAAACTGCCATATAACCCTACTTTTTCTTTCCATTATCTCTGAGTTAGAAGAACAGCGCTTTCTGCTCCAGATATACCTGGATGACAGATGGCTACTTGGAGCAATTGTTATCAACTGATGTTAGTTTAATGCTACTAGTAGTTGTCTAGGGGTTCCAAATTTAAGAATTATTACGGCATGTTTAACTTGCCAGGGCCTTATTAGGGGAGTGATACTTAATGATCCTTTGGTACTTTGAACAAAGTTGATCTAGAAACATTTCCAGGAGATAGAAAAGCAGGCTCCATAATAAGAATAATTGCAGTTATTTATTGGCCACTGGTTGTTATGTAGCTGCAAAATGTTTTGTACTGCGCATATTCAGATCACACAAAGCAATGAGGTTTAGATACAATTATTGAAATGTGTAAAATGACTTTGATAATGCTCTGATTAATCTAAAAATATTGTTTTGATATTAAACGTAGGAGAACAGGTTTTATTCCATCTGGTTGACTACTGAACATTATGCCATTCATTTCATTTTTCAGTTATATAGTATTACCATTTAGTATAGAAAATATATACTACTACTAATAGTATACACTAATATACTACTATCTTAATGTAGCTTATTGCTTTTATTTTTTATTGTGCTTTACATGGTTGTGTCATGCCCTAAGATGTGATGAGGGATGAGATATATCCGTGCCATAGATAGAAATATAAGCCAGTTAATATGCAAGAATATTGGATAACCAGCAAACTTGTTCCATGGTTGACATCTGCTTCAGATTCTGCTCTGTGAATCTGAAAAGGTGAAGGTGACACCGTACTACCTCATTATATTTTTCCATCCTGCCGAGTGATTTCATACCTTGCAATAGTTCTTCCATTTCTAGAGACTAGCTACAGTTTTTGAATGTGACAAACAACATATATATTTAGTTCCGGGAAACCTTACATCAGATTTCCCTGTTACACTTGAATCAGCTACACAAGGAATGCATTCTGGTGACATGAGTAATGACTTTGCCTAGGCAGCCCTATATTTTAGATATAACTAAATCTGGATTGCAGCAGTACAAAAACCATAAGCTATAAACAAGAGGTCATTAGTCCACACACACACACACACACACACACACACGGATCAGAGATACTTTGAATGGGAACATAGATCTAGTAGGCTACGGGCATAAAAGAAATTACTACTTGTTTCAGATAAGATGCTATTGGAAAGGATTACCTGTACATTTGTGTGGTTATTCTACTGTTAATATATTGTTTTTGGAGGCTTGTTTTTAAAGGAAAGAAAATGTACTACAGACTGGGTGGTATGCTTTCTGTGAAATAGAATCTGGTGCATGGAGCAAATCTGGTTAACTGTGTCTGTAACTTTCTAACTCTAGAAAATTCTGTACTCTCCCCATGTACTAAGGAGAACGGTGAGGGCATTTAGGAAGTTCTCCTGAGAAGGTTCAGGGTCTGCATACCTTTGGAACTGTGTTGTTCCAGAGCTCCCCTAACCCTGAACCAAAAAGCCTGTTAAAAGCAAAGAAAAGCGTTCCTTGAAGTATTTGTGTCCAGAAATGCTTTCTATATTACAAATCAACTTACAACCCCTTCTCTCAATAATACAATCAAAAGATATAAGTAAAAAATAATAATAAACAGCACAAATAAGAATAATGCTAGTTAAAAGTAGAGTTGCCTTTAACAACATCTAATTGTTAAGCATTAAAAGATGACTGAAATGGTGTTGGTTTTTTTTAGGGGGGAAAAATCACCAGTACAAAGCTGAAAGAGAAGGAAGCATGGGTCCAAGTCATTTTCTGCTTGTCCTGTGCTTTCCAGGCATGGGTCTGAGCAGTTTCGCCTTTGCCCTGCTACTTTCCCCAGGAAAACCTGCTCTTTAGCGCTAAATCAGAACAAATAGCAATCCATGGGAAACCCAATGGTTGTTTGTTCTGATTCAACACTAAATCATGGGTTTACCACCCTGTGTCCCAAACAAATCATTTCGCCTAGAGGCTAATCTTCCCTCGGTAGAATTATGGATCTGGTGCAGGACACTTAACTATTGGCTTCGCCTACACTCACATCCCCCTGGTCTAATATCCCTAGCGCTGCAAGATTGTCACAAGAGCGCCTGGACTAAATTTGTCTATCAAAAACTTCACTATTGTGGCTTATCACCACAACAGCTACTCACTTTGGGTTTTAGTAATGCAAACAGTATAATTTGAGTCACCGCCTAAATGATATCGAACGTCAGAACAACTTGGCCACAATAGGGAAATTTTGCCAATGATGTGACTATTTTCCACCTTCCCATTTTGACACTGGCACCCTATCTGCATAATCTAGCAATTCTGAAATATAGGCGCGCTTTTACTCTCGCAAGATTGATTGTATTGCCCTTGGCTGTACTTGAGGGACGATTCAACAGATTTCACACGAAAAACGCTTACAGTATGTCCTTGTAGAGATGGCAGTACCGAATCAGTGGTGCATGCCATTCTGGCTTACATGCTTTATAAAGACTTGAGGAATGAGATTATCACCCCTCTTTTATTGTCCATTCTGGGTCACCCAACCACTTCCACAGTGTCCTTTCTCTTGGCAGATCAAGATGAGCAGGTGAAAACAAAGGCTGCAAGGTCTTTAGCTGGGGCAATCAGAATAAGATCCACTATTTGACTACTGATTCAAAACCCTAAAATGTATTTTATATAATTGACTTTTTATTTCTATTCTTTGTATATCGTATTGTTGTTTTATTGCTATGGCCGATGCCTGACACAAATAAGGATTAATTAATTAATTAATTCATTCATTCATTCATTCATGGGTTTTCCTGGGAAAAGGCAACGGGGCAAACAGAATTGTGGATGAGCCCTATCTTTCATATTCTGTGCTCTCTTCCTTATACTAGTCTGGCATTGGCTTCTATTTGTCAAACTTCTTGTGTTCCCCTCTTGGTTCCTCATCATCTCCATTCCCATTGGCAAACTCAGGTTTTGCTTCCAGTGAGCATACTTACAATTTATATACATTGATTTAATAAGTTGAAGTTCTTGGCCTCCATGGTATCAGAACAGTTTATCCAATGGCTAGTGTGGACTCAGGGACGGATCTACTAACAGTCTATATACCTCATGTTTTTCAAATTCGTATGATTTTTATTTTTTACAAATTGGCAAGGTTTCTCTGCATGTTCCGTAGTTTCATTTGATCTCTCATATTTTTATAGCCATGATAAATGCTTTTAAAACAGCCCATATGAATTGGAAGCAGAACTAGGAAATTGGATGCCCATAATCCATACATATATATTGGCCCTAGGGATACTTTGAAGAAGTTGCTTCTGTGAATTTTGATGTGAACTGATCTGTACCTCCCAGACTAATGTGCAGATTAGAACATAATTATCCTTTGGATTTCACATGCGCCTAAATTTTGCCATTCACTACTCTGCTAAAAATAATGTACCCAAATCAGTTATACACTTTGTTTTTCTTACTGTTACTGAGTAGAAAGTTCTCAGGAAGCAGATTTATTTATTTTTTTAAGTATGGGAAGGGGAGAGGGGCCTATGTGAATGTATTTAATTAGGCTTGGGAAACATCATGTTTTAAGATTAGAATATCACTGCAAGAGAGAGTTGTGCATCTTTGGTGCTATTAAGGGACTCGTGTCACATATGCATGCAGCAGACCTTAGAATGTTTTACTGCTTGATGGGGAAACATTGGTGTCCTTTTTATATCTGTGCATTGTTAGTGCTTCAAACCCCTGTATTTTTAGCCTTTCAATTAGGACCCTGTAAAAGCTTTTCTATTGCTACTTTGCGGGTCTTTATAGATTTATCTATTTGCTTGAAAACTGTTCTTTGAATTAAGGTTTGCAAAACTGGATTGTTCCAAAAACAAACACGGCAGTGTGTTTGAACATCCTGTCCTTTGCTTTCTGTGAATTAACTACGTTGATGATTTATTCCTGTTTGTTAATTGCTATATAACAGCTATTTTAATTTGGAATGCTTGTTAGTAACAGTTCAATGGTCCTCTGAGGGACACTAGATAACCTTTTGTGTCTTTCTTGGGAATTAGTCAATGCTCCTTGGAGATCTTTATTATTTTAGGATAAATAAGCCTATCACAAATACCAGGAGAGGCTAGGGATTTGGACAAGATGCTTCTGCTGTACTTTTCAACCTGAATTAACAGTAATAAAGCCTCTATTTATTCAATAAGTGTGACTAATTAAAAAAATAACAACATGCAGAACTCTTTATAATACATATACAGTGGTACCTCGGGTTACATACGCTTCAGGTTACAGACTCCGCTAACCCAGAAATATTACCTCGGGTTAAGAACTTTGATTCAGGATGAGAACAAAAATCGTGCAGCAGCAGCGGGAGGCCCCATTAGCTAAAGTGGTGCTTCAGGTTAAGAACAGTTTCAGGTTAAGAACGGACCTCCGGAACGAATTAAGTAGTTAACCCTAGGTACCACTGTAATATGTATAGTTCTACACATGGGGGTTGGTAAGCATTGGAGCTGGTGGGGCAGTGAGCAAGGCAACTAATGGAAGACAGAGCCAGCCAGGGGGTCATTGGAGATGGAGTCTTTTTCTCATTTTCTCCCCCTCTTCCTCCCTTGCAAAGATACTGTGGTCTGCAGCTGGGGCAGTGAGTCGTGTGGCTTGAGAGTTTCATGATAACATGTTTATACAATATAATAAGTTATTATGTCTTCCTAGTGGTTGATTCAAAGGATTTGTCCACCATTGATACAGCTTTTCCATTTACTACTACTTACTTTTTCAAAACTGCAGATAAAGCTCTGGCAGAAGAGATGCACCAAGAAAAAAAATTGAACTATTACAGGCATCTCGTGTGCTAGTCTGTGACCTTCATATTAAAATACATTTCATGTCATGTTGTTGAATGTCAAAATATCTCACATGATGTAAGCCAAAGAGCAATTAAAAGCAGTTAATCTCAAAGATCCAGCAGTAGGTTTATTCATAGATTTGTTTCATTCACATTTTATTTTTTTTCTAGAGAAGCCTCTTGTAAAGCATAATGATGAATAAAATGCAGGAAATCTTAGCTGAACAGGAAAATAAAACAAATCTAGAAAGATTGTGTCAATGCAAAACTTGATAAAAACATAATCAGCTGAAAGCTGATTTGCTCCTGCAATCCTTTGAAGGAATGCAGGTATTCTTTACATAACAAAGAGAAGAATTTCACGTTCTGAATAGTAAATATGTGGTGCCCAAGGATTTCTCTTAAGTTACAGCAAGTGAACAATAATTATCTTTTCTTTTATGTTGTCTCACACAAACATGGTTTGTTATACAAAACCACATTCTTGGTAATACCTGAAACAGGCCATGCCCTCGTTTTTCCTGCTTCTCTTCTATGCCAGACAGTTACGTTTTAATTAGTGTACTAGGATATCAAACAAAGGTTTTGGAACCTCTAGTCAAAGGACGCTGTGACAGTAATGAAGGCATGGTAGATAGAAAGCAGCCTGTGTCAGTAGGAGTGGTACTGCTTGGTTCAGTTAAATCAATTCAGTTCACCTGTCACTAGGAAGCAACCTTATACAAAGTCTGTTTCTCCCACTATTTACCCTAATGTTGTCTACCCTTGACTAGCATGTTGGTTTCTGCTTTCCTTCACTGTGCAGCAACTGCAGTCACAAGACAGGTGTTTACATTCCACAGTCTGTACTGTTGGAGTTTCTCACGGGAAAGGGAGACTGGATGTGACGTACACTGGTTTCCTGTTTTTCACTGTGTGATTCTCTCCGAGCTGTTGAGGAGAGAGGATGCATTTTCTGCTCCTGCAGAGGCAAGATGTCTTTCTGTAATATACCAGCTTTGAACTGTAAATAAAGCAATATGGAGTATGTAACACATTTTCCTCATCCTTCCGCTGGGCACGAGACTCTGCTTAAATCAACACGTGGTTATGGGCCCAGAAGTCGAATCGGAGTGCCGGCAGAGGATCGGAATGCAGAGGGACGGATCGGAAAGGAATCTGCTCTGCGCGTAGAAGTGATTGATGAGGTATGTGCTACTGCTCCGGGCAGCCTGCCAGCTTCAAGTTAATGGCTTTATGGCTGGACTTTGAACTTTTAAAGCCGGTTTTGCCGGGAATAGGCAAAGGCTCCCAGGCACAAGTCACTATGCTGGGGAAATCGAAAGTAACTTTTAAGTGCGCTTTGTAATAAAGCAGCTGCAGCAGTGACGCAGCAAGATTTAAAGCAGCATATGACGCTGAAGGCTAATGCCAGAGTCATGATGGCCCTTCAGGATGCTTGTGGGATTCCTAAGCTCAACAAGAAAAATTACAGCGACTGGGTTCAGTATGCAGAGGCAATTCTGCGGAAAGAGGGTTTGTTTGAGGTGATTACAGGAACCCCCACTTCCAGTTACAGATGCATGGGAAGCTAAGGATTCCAAAGCAAGGGGAACTCTTACATTGATAGTATCCCCAGAAGAGCTCTGTCTATTGCGTGATAAGACCTCAGCCAGAGAAATTTGGGACGCTCTGAGAGAGGCTCACTTAAGGACAGAAGCTGGATCCACTATGTTTTACTTTAACAAGCTGCACAATATGGCT